TAGACATACCATTTGACCAAAAAGATTTGAAAGATTCTCCACAGAAGCTAGAAACAAATGCCAGCGAATGAAAGGTGGTTATCAAGTCATATTGCGTTCACTCTCGTTGACCAAAATTTATTACGACTTACCAGAGGCATCGGGTTGTTCTACGATAACGCGAATGTGTTTTTTGGGCATAAGAAGCGAGAAAGAAGAGCACAAGAATAAATAAGTATTCTGTATTATTGGCGAAATATTGACACTGTTTGGGCGAGAATAAGTTCGCTTACCTCCTTGAATTTTATTAACCAGCTTCTCGATTTCTTTAGCCGGTCCACCTGGTATTCCCCATCTCTCAAAATCCGTTGCAGTAAAATCAAAGAAGTTGCTTCCCTTAACCCACTGATTATATAATATTTCGATATCTCTGTCTTCAAGGTCTAATCGAGTTTTGTTGTTTTGTAAAAATGCTTTAACGTCCTCTTGACACCATGCCTTCACATGTTCAACTGTTGGAAGATTAGACATGACACCGGTTGAGGAACTTATAACGATTAAAAAAGTAATGAAGATCAATTTGTGCGACAATCGATTTTTCGACCTTAGTTTTAACTACAGTATCACGTGGTAATTTTAACGCGTCTCGACCGTAACTCAAACGAAGTACTCCCTTTTTTTCATAGCACCTTCATAGTATCTTCATTACATATATGTATATTATAAGGGGTGTAATACATAGAGCAAAGTTAACTGGAACTAGCATTACGTCCGAAACTATATAAGAGAGGTAGATTCGTTTACTATGATCAACAGAAAAAAAAATATTTAATATAAATAATCAATTAACGTGTGTTGGAATCATTATTAATATGCGCGGATTGATAACCATAATCATCGTCAGAAAATCTACAGAACCCATCATCAGAGGGTTCCGAGTTGAAATAAAGAATCATCGAGTTTACCTATCTCTTCCTCCAATAAAGATTCGGCTTTCTCGCTTATACTATTATTATCATTCACAGTTTCTTTTTGTCCTTTGAAATTGTTCCAGTGGACATGCTTATCTCTTTCACCGGCAAATATTTATTATTCTCATTTATCAAATCTTCTGAACCAGACGTATTAGACAATGGGATAGAAGAAGCAGATGTTTCTGAATTTTTATTTTCCTTCTCACAAGAATTTTACCGATCACCTTGTGAACAAAGTTGGGTTACAGAACTTTTTTCATCGTCCCGTAACTCAGCCAGAGGCAGGCTCACATCAATAATATAATCAAAGGATACATTATCTGTAATATACCGAATTTCCTTTTTTTGTTAATTTAGATATACTGTTAGCAGAAAAGGAATGAATGCGATAAATTTTATCCATACCTATTGCATCAAAAAGTTTATAAAGCTTCTTTGCTTTTTTGATTCTCTTACGTAAAAGGCTATCAGAAGTGTCTGCTTTTACTTCTTTATTTAAAATTCTACTAACAGTATTGGATTCTGGATCAACTTGTCTTTCCGATGCTATTTCATTACATCTCTGAATAATAGCCTTTCAAAATAGGCAATAACACGTGATAGCTTCTTGGGCTTTACGATCAGTAAGAATTATTGCATCACAAAGTTTTCCATATAAAAGTGTAAAATTAGTATTGCTGGGTAGAGATTCCGTTTCATCCTGGGTAGTAGTTGTCACATCCCTATCTATATTATCATTATTTTTAAAACTTGAGTTTTCAGAAATTTTTGACATGATCTTCTGCACTTTTTCTTGAGAACTGGGGTTCTTTTCCCGGATCTTTTCTCTTATTTTCTCACTAATCATTTCTTTATGTACGATATTCAGGAAATCATTAATTTTCTTCTCTTCTAATGATGTAGTTTTTATAATAATAGAAGATGTGGAGGATCGGCTATTCTTTTTCTAGTATGTATCAGAGGAACCATAAGTTCAATGCTTTGCATCAACAGATGTTATATCGGAGATATTTTCTATTCGTTCAGGAGTAATACTACGGGTAAATCCGTAACAAGCATTGCTTGTACCTCCTAACCTGTCTGAGTTTTTCCGATAATAACAATCCCGGAAAATTACGTATATATAAAAAATATGTTATAGTCCTTCTAGCAGGGGGCTGCGCCACCCCTGTTACAAAGCAAAATAGTCTTGCTTCGCGATGGCCTAGCCGGCGGCTAATATAATCCTGCCAGTTTTTAATAGTATCATCTCGGTTCTCTCTGTATAAAGGGGACGGGAACTGTCCAAATGGACAGATTCCCTCGTAACTCAATAACTATATCACTTATCACATTATCAAAGGTAACCTCATTTATATCACATCAAACAATACTTTATTTATGCTTCTGGATTCATATTTTGAGCATCAATTATAGGATCAACAGTATCTTCTGCCTCATGTCCACCTATACCATAATACATATTAAATTAACAACTCGATACTATCAATATTACAGTACGTGTTGCATTATCTAAATTATAAATTAAAGGTCTCTCCATTATAATGCCACACATAAAGAATCGTGTACAATTCTCCACTACCATAACACCACCATTATCCTGAATTACATAATCAAGATATCAATTCACAGTGATATACTTAGTCCATTCATAATTAGTACATTCATCATTTAAAGACACAACAAAGTCTCTAATCATATGGCTATTCCCAATTTTCGCAGTTAAAGGATTAAAATCTTGTCGATCAACAGTATTTCCAAAGAATCCATGCATACAATTATTAACATTCACTCCTACTTGCTTAAACTTAGGCTAAGACCAAACAAGAAATCTAACTCTTAAAGTAAATCCACTAATAATAGATATTTAATTATTATATTCTCCAAGAATATATACTCGACGTAACACTTGCATTGTAACCTTAAATCTCTTAACATATTGTAACGGTGTAACGGCGAGTCAGTCGCTAACTCTAGCAGAGATTCGCGTAACCATTACTGGGGTAATAAATGAATGGGTGATTTTAGGCGTGTTTGTATTTGACCGAGTCTTTATTAATTTCTTACTTCTATGTTCACTACTCTTCTTGCGTGTCTCTTCTACTCCTCTATACTTTACATGTTATTTATACTTTACATTTGGCTATGGCGGCTTAGACATAATGAT